AGAGGGTCTATAAGTGACTTCTCCAAGGCCACTAGTCTTAGGATTTGAGTTAGAATCTCATTACAAGTTTATGTGATTACAAAGTCCATGTTCTTCCCACCACAGCATTCTTTTTTTTTTTGCTCCATTTCTGTCAAATATGCAGTAAATAATTTTAGTATTGATAAAGAAAGCTTTTACTTGGTGTATACCACACGGTTCAGGAAACTCAATAAAGCTAACCCTCATTCAACATTAGAAATTATAAAAATAAACCCCTTTTGATTTAATGTCCCCAGTATCTGTCTCTGTTTAATTTACAGATAGGTAGTTACAGAAGAATGATATCTCAAGACTGACTTATCTGACTCATCACTAGTGTCAGCCAAGGGCTTTTTGCAAATTCTTACCCAGCTATCGAATAGGCAGTTAAAGTTACAAACATTCAACTTGTGGTGACTTCAGCTTTTTTCTAAAACGTATTCATATCTTATATAATTCTGAAATTACTTTCTACATTCTATAGCACTACTAAAAGAGCAAAACTGTATATTCCTGGTTAGCATGCAGGGGCATGACAAAAAAACAGCTATAAATGACTACTTTAAAAATAAAAGATATTCTGACCTAAGAGAATTCAGAACCAATTCAAATATTTTTATACAAAACATATTTATTTTATTTAATTCTCAGTTTCTTCTGCCTGTTAGTTACCTGTAAATAGTTCGCAAATTAAAAAGTCAAGTGTTTTAGATCTTAGAGAAAAATAATATCATTTAAAAAAATCATATATTTGGTATTGTATCCTTGGAAATAGGTTCATAACTATCTTAGAGTTATAACATCAAACCATTTAAAATCTGTAAAAATTGTATTCTCAAACCTTATCTTTTGGAATCAATTTAATATCAATATATTTGCTCTACTCAATATTAAAATATAATTTTTTAAGAAGAATACATGGTAACTCTTTTGTAAAGTGTAATTATAGATCAAAACTATTAATTTGGAATGCCTAAACAATTATCTCCATATTTTTATCACAACACTTAACCTGTGAAAACAGCCTTTCTCTTTGCTATTATGTGTTGGCTGTTTCTATGCTAACCACACTACTGTCCTGGAAAGTCAAGTTGCCCTAGAATAAGTAAAAAAACAGATCTTACATTGTTAATCTTTATAAATTGCTTCTCAATTAATGCCCAGTCTAGTAGAGCTTAGGGCCAATCATTTCTTAATCATTTAGAAATGTCAACTTTCATGTTATGAACTTGAATATATAAACACTGTCCCCAAGTTCAAACGTATGTGTTTTAAAGCAATCATAAAATAGTGTCAGTTAAACTACAATGGTCATACAATGATTCAGAGGGTAATATACAGCTTGTAAAACATCCACATGATTTTTTACCTAATATATGCAAATCTTTGGTATCATCAACATGTGGTATCATTATCAGAAGAAGTAAATGTAACTTGAAACAATTTTTTTTTTTTTTAATTTGGGGCAGCTTTGAGGTTAAAAGCATAAGGCTGAAATTATTGGCAAAAATTGGGTTTGAGAATTGCAGTTATCTACAGATTTCAATTATCCATGCTACTCTTTTCTCTATTACCTCCTAGATAACTGAAAGTTGAATATATTAACTTATTGTGTTATCTTGGGTCTAGAAGCTCTTACAGACAAGTTGGAGTTTATCTATTACTTGTGAAGTTAAAAAAAGTAGACCTTATGCACTGAGTTCTGGCTTCAATACTTGGCAGTGTAATAAGTCTCTTTTCTCTCCCTCTTCTCCCCAACCTTTTACTGTCCTCTTGCTTCTCATTCTCAACTCTCTTCTTAAAGAGAACTAAAAACTCACTATAACCCAATTTCCCTTCAAATAAACAATAGAAGCAGAGCATACAATTTAATTTTAAATATTAACTGTTTCTACCTCATTACATAAGTTCTTCATCCAATGTGTTTGTGTTTTATTTTAGAGTTTATAAAACTCTGTGTTTGACCCTTTGACATTTAAGAGTCATCTTAGAATCTTACTCTCTGATAGCAAGAAAAATGTCACTTTCGATCAGTTTGAGCAAATCAGAAGAAGGGTAGCTCAATAGATAGTCATAAATGACATTTGCTTCTGCACGTCATTAAAAAATTATTATACTGATAATAGGAAGTATTTTGTAGATCTTATAAAGTTCATGTTTTATTTGACACCTAATGGTGGCGCCCAAGAAATAATGGGCCTCCATTTTCTATAACTATTTATTTGTCTGTTTTCATTTTTTATTCACTGTTCCCTTTCTTATACATCAGAACACAAACCATGAATTTGTATTTTTAAATCTAAAACCTGAAAATAACAGCTGAAATATTAAACCTGATTTCCTTTGCTTTTGTGATACATGCAGGTAGTTCAGCATCACTGAAATGATAAACAATTAAATCTGCACAGTTAGACAAGTGCAGAGACAGTGGTGATTTGCCAGTGTTAAATGAAATGGTATAGATCTGTCTTAGGATCATTTTAAACAAGAGATTAAGAAATGGAATCTAAGTCAACAGGGGAGAGAATTGTTTATTCTTTCAAAAAAAAAAAAAGTAGAATGTCGCCTTGAATGCTCTTACAAGGCTTTTTCAGTAACCAAATGCATTCTTAATAAAGCTATGCTCCTTAAACTATGGTATGGGTTTCTATAAACTTTAGAAATATACTAATGCTTGATTATTAATATTTTCAATTCCACAAACATTAATTGAGCACCTAAAATGTGTCAGAGACTGTGCCCGGTGCTGGAGATACAGGATGAACAATCTCTAAAACAGTATCTCTCAACCCTGGCTTTTCTAAGGATACATCTCAATCTCCTAGGAACCATAAAATAACCTCAACTCTAGCCCTACCCTCAAAGATTCTGAGTCAGTGTGTATGGGATGGGACTAGGCATTTGTAGTTTTCAAAGCTCTTCAAATGATTTAATATTCAGCAAGAGTTGATACACTTGTCATAAGTCATAAGACCATATTCCCTTAAAAAATCAAAACAAAACAAAAGTACAATAGTAATGCAGTAGCTAGACTTATAAATGTGTGGCATCCAAAATACTCTAAACTTTGTCTAGAGTGATGCGCTTCACAGAAAGAAGACAAGGGACAAGGAAGGCTTCGCCAATGAAGCAATGCAAACATATTTCAGAATTTTAGGCAGCTATAGCTAGTTAATATTTCTTAAGCAACTACTATGTGTCAGGTGCTTTTGATGGCACCACTAACAATTCTCAGAAGTAGATGATACTTATACATGTTTGCAATGAGGAAACTGAAGCTCAGGAAGGTTGAATGACTTGCTAAAAAATCACAAAACTTGTAAGTGGCAGGGTTAGGATCTGAACCCAGACACCCTGCCTCAAACTCAACATAATTTCTGGGGAAAAAGTAAAAAATTTAGATAATTTTTAAATTTTAATATTTCCTAAATAAATAAATAAATAAATAAATAAATGCCAATAAACAGGTGCTCTTTGAATAGTTGTAGTGGTTAAGATATATGACGACAGATTCACATTTTATTATTTCTTTGTCCAACATACTTTTTAATATTTTTATTGGGTTTTCAAAACAGTATAAATATTTTATTTTCCTTCAAGTTACCTAATAGATATCCAAAAAGAGCAAATCCTTACAGAAAAACAATTTCTCCTTTGAGTTGAATCCAATCTGAGGCCTGGGGAGATTTAGTTGGAGAGTTACAGTGATGTGTGTATGAGATATCTCTACAACATTAGGGCCACCAGTGACTCTGCTGTCCCCCTTTAGCCAGGCATTTTAAGCATGTAAGATTATCACCTAAACCATAAGCAGCAGACCCAGGCAGGAGTTAACTAACTAGTCGTTTCGGTCCACATGTTCTAATACGTTGTGCTTACCAACATAAACATTATCTATTAAAGTAGCCCGGCCCACATTCCTTAAAAATATCCCTGATTTTACACAGTATAAAGAGACAAGCTGTATTTTAGCTAAATGCCTTCACATCTATGATGCAAGCCAGCCTGGTAAGACTTTTAGAGAAAATTTTAATAATAACAAATCTTATCAAATAAAACAAGGATATAATCAACTATAAATTTCAATTTATTCAATAAGAGGAAATTTAAAGTTATTTCTCTATTAATTTGAGTTAAACATTCAAATGAACATTCTCATCCTAGGATCCTATCATTCAGATATAGGATGAAAATATTTTCTTTTTAAGAGTTTAAGTATTATTATTTTAACTTATGATATTTATTCTGCCTGAATGTTCATCTCTTCTTCTCTCATTATAATTTCCTGAATCTCAAAGCTGAATATGTGCCTTCGTATACCTCCAAACTATCCCAGACTTCTTTGCTTCTTCATAGAACATTTACTTCTCATGAACCACTCAGGGCACCAAGCATATAGTACTTCTTCATAACAAAATTGTATAATGGCCACTGAATGAGTAGAGTTGAAATCCACAAAGAGTTTTGATCTTTGCTTTACCAGGAGCCTGTCCACCAACACTGAGTCCTGGGCTAAATTAATATTCATTAGAGATGCACAATAGACTATTACACAAAGCACTGCTACTGGAGGCAAAAGCCCATGATTCTCTTTTCCTCTCCATTGCTAACTAGGAGGCTTTGCCAAATTATTTACTTCACCTGGCTTTCGTTACTTCCACTGTTTGCAGTGGGGTTAATAATGTTTTACTTGCCTAGAAGCACAAAGCTCGTTTAGATAATTTTATAAGGTCTTTTCTAGCTCTACGCTATGACAGACCTTTGACTGAATCAAATCTTTCTTACTCCCATATAAACAACACAGTCTGGGCAAAACATAGAACTTTATAAGAAGGTGCTGTGAAAAGATATGTGATAACAGACTGATGATAACCATCTGATTTAAGTGAATTAAATACATTGCATTGCTAATCCTTACTTATTATTACTATTAACACTCTTATCTGCTTATGAAGAACCTCCAATGTTCTGTTTCTTACCTTTTGACTTCCTGTCATGGTATGACCTGCCTCGATAATGAGGGGTGTCCAAATACAGATTCTCAAGATCTTCTTGCCATGATTCGGGATTGAAGTGCTTGAGCAGATCTTCCACAGTATCAAATTCTGCAACTGTTTTGTCCAGAGCATCCACAGTGAGAGTGGGATCCGTTACTGATGGAGAGTGATAGGATACCCCCTAAGAGTAATATACAGCTCAGTGTACTCAGAAAAAGCCCATTGCTATGAAACACAACAGTCATACAACTATATGGAAGGAACATAAAAAGGATTCTGATTATAAGACATCATATGTGTAAATATCATGCTCTAGTACTATTTCTAAATAAGAGCGATTAATTGATAAATGACAATCGTTCACTTTTTTGCAAATCAAAACCAGGAAAATCATATAACTTCCACTTCATCTGAACCGCAATCATTAAAAAAGACATGGGCTAGATGGAAATATTAAAACTAAGTCATCCAATTTCCTGATTCAATGTCACAAATCATCCGTATCCATATCAACAACTAATGATGAGCAATTAAATTCTGAACTCCTTCCATGCAAATTTTGCATAATCCATTCCATTCTACCATATTTAGCCTATACATCCCCTCTTTACAGGTCACTTAGCATTGCTAGTGATGTGTGAGCAGAGTTTGAATCTATTCTGAAGACAGCTTGATAAAATTTGACACTTTAACCAGCTTATTTACTGTCAACGAGGATAATCAACCATGATGGTTCTCTTAAGAGTGGAAAATTCACATGGGAAGCATATGTTTTGCTTTGTTTTTTAAGTGCTGTAGCTTCCTAGTGATCGCAGTTGCCATTAAAACATTGTCAGGAATCTTTTAAATGGGGAATCCAATATCACTAAAAGTCTGGAAAGGATTATGTATTTTGCCATAGAATATATCCCCACATAAATTTCCAAGTGCTTACTTCACTAACCCTTGTACAATCTAGAGGTAAATGAGCCATGATTCAAACATCTCTGTAAAAATTCATGACCCATTAACAAGGAAATAGAGAACACACAGTCTCAAATGATTCCTAAATGTCTTTAAAGAAACTGCCAAACAAATAAGATCCCCCAAGGGCAAATATCTCTTCTCATTATAGGAAAATGTAAACTTGTGTTCCTGAAACTTAATTGCAGTATCCTACTGAGAAATAATATGTGCTATAGAGTCACAGAAAGCAAAGCCCACATTTATATTTTCACTCTTAGGTAATGTTTTCTCTCTTTAGCCAATCAAGGCCCAAAGATTCGTAAGAGATTCGATGATCACTTGCTCTGACAGGAATGGTCCCTCTTTAGCAAAACTAAGTGTGTAAGGACATTAACCTACCACTAGTGGCATTTAGGAACAGATTTCAAGTATGAGCTAGTGAGAGAGGGGAATAGGATTTGGGGAGTAGGATGGGAGACATGAAACAGATTGGTGAAGGTGTTAGGCCAGCTCTTTAGGGCTGCACACATGCACATGAGTGCATGTGTGTGTGTGAGATATGTAAGCTGAATCCTGATTGAAGCACCTAGTTCTATCTTTCACATCTCTCTTGGAATCAAATGCTAGAGGTGAATAATACTTAGATTCTGCACAAAAATCAAAATTCCCATTCAAATTGTACTCTGGAGAATCTACTGTCTACCTGGCTTATATTCACTAGATGATTTATAATTAGCTTTGCATCACAATAATATAGGTCTAAAATAAAAAAAAAAAATAGCAAAATGAGCTGGCCAAATTTAGGTGCATGGCAGACTATAAAAGCTTTGAAATTAAAATACTTCCTTTAGTTTTAAAAATAAAAGCAGGTATATCAATTGAGACATTCCAACACAAGCAAAATGGCTCTCGGGAACTCCTGGCAAAATGTTTCCTAGGGTCACTCCAAACTACGCTTAGGATGTCATGTTCATCCAGATAACTCTTCAAGAGAAAGCTGTAGAGGGGCTCCTAGTCCTTGAGGGGGAAGTTTGGGTTTGCTCTTCAGACTAATGTTAAAAGAGCATTAACATTAGTCTGAAGAGCAAACCCAAACTATAGAGAAAATTGTCCTTATATATGAGCTGTTTGTCCTTTAAGACTGTAATTTCTGCGCTTAGGTCAGGAATGGGTAGACAACTCTAAGCTGTCATGTCTAAGAAGCTTGAGAAGCTGGAGAACTGCTTGACAGAATAGTACATTAGGTCCTGGTTGCAAAAGCTGCCTCTGGCATCTACCTTCAATTGTCAGTCTAAGGCTGATAACTGTCCAAGCCTCCTGCCTAGCCTCGTGGATCCATGGCCTCACCTGCTTTATTTTAATTTTCACCTGCCTGACAATGATTGCTTACACTTAGCTATGTTCAGAATGTGCATTCTGGACTGTCGAAACCAAACAAATAAAATACTCTAAATATCACTATTAGAGACCTCTCTATCTCTGCATCAGATCTTGTTGTTCTGGTCCAGCAGCCATATCAGGTAAATTAAATTGTCACAGACTCCAGAGCTAAAGAATCCTGCCATCTGAGGGAATTAACAAAAAAATCTCCCAGAGGGCAAAAGATAGCATATCAGTTTTGGGGAAAAAAAAAAAAAAATCAACTCCACTGACTCAGCCACACTGACCCACTTTAGAACTATGGATAAGCTTTCTCCATGCTCTTGACCTTTTAATGAAAAACTGCATTTATTATCTTGTATTTTATTGCTACATAAGTGCTACTCTTAGGATTGGTGAAAACAATGTCTGTTCTTTCTGTACAAAGCAGATAAGTAGAAAGAATACTGAGAAATGACTAAACTTGGAGAAAAAATTAGGGGCATGAACCATTTTACAGTTTCAGTGTGAGTTATGTTTTATTTCCAAGTCAAACTGAACACATGCCTGGTTTGCACTTAAGTTATCTTACTGTAAACATTGGGAGTTTTTATGTCTGAAAAGATCCTTGAAACGCAAAGGTTAACAGCTTCCCCTGGAATATTCAAAAAGCTATTTCAAAATTCCCCACTCGAGCTTGGCCGTGGACCAGTTTGATACATTTGATGTGTCTGGACTGTTCTTCGGTTGGAATGTTCTGCTTTGAAACTGATAAATACTTCAGCCATAGTCTACCCCATGTTCCTACGAGCATTAGTATTTCCTGAAAACTTTCTGAAAGAGGAAAAAAAGGCATCTGACATAGCCCACTATAACCTAAATGAAATAAAAGAATACACGATGCTTGAGATCTGGCTTTTGGTCAAGGCATAGGTCCTTAATTCAGTTGACACTGTTCTGGGTTGACCTTGCTACTCCATCAGTTTTTTTCACTGGCAACAGAAAAATAAGTTACTTACTGAGATAGAGCTTGTGACTGACTCCCAGTTGGTCTCTGAGGCTGCCACAGGTTGGAAATCTTCCTAGAAGGCAAAGAAAGATCCATGTGAGTCAATCAAAACCTCTGTTCAATTCACTACATGCAGAGTTTCAACATCTCAGCCATCTGAATCTTTTTCCAACTAAGTGACAACAGAAATAGGGACTACATTCTTGCTAAACAGGTCATCATTTGTCTTAAGCACTCTTCTCAAGAACCCTTCTCATTCAAGACATGGACTGCATTCACATTTACTTATCAGCACTGGTGAGATGGAAAATGTGTAGATAGGAGTTCAAAGTTTAACTCAGCCACCTATTGGCTGTTTGATCTTAGGTAAACTCTCTAATCCTTCTCTTCTTTATCCGTAAAAGGATGGTATGGGATGCTTAAATTACAGGGTTGTTTTGAGAATTGGATGCATTAATTATGTAATTATAACTCAAACTTAATAAAGTGCTTAAAGAATAATAATAATTATTATTGGTATTAATGTTTAGTTGGTTTGAACTAGGTTCTGCATCATGTTCAATCCTGCCTGCTGAGCTAGTCTAGAATATAAGCGATCTTTTCAAAGATAAATTAACTGACAAAGTACTATTCCTGACTCTATCAAGAAATGCAGGAAGAATGGAGGGAGAAGACGGTAACTGTGGGAATGACAAAGTACTACCCACTGGAAAGAAGGTAAAGGGCAGACCTGAGAAAGTTATTTATCTCAGAGAAGCCATAAAGGATATGTGATAGCAATGGACCTCAGAAAAAAACAAAACAAAAAAAACAAAAAAAAACTTCTCTTAAAAGGCAAGCTTCTCTCCAATATGTATGTGACTTTTATGTTAATTACTCTAGCACCAATAAGTTTAAAAAACACGATGGGAAGAAAAGCTGATTCTACTATTTTTACATGTCACACATGATTTCTTGATCTTGTTAACATAAATTACCTTGATAAATTTCTTCCAGCCTGTTCCGGGAGCAGGAGATATTTTAAGATATTGACAAGGAAAATTCAGCCACTCATATATAAGGACTTATTTACCCAGGTATACTTACTGAATGAGAGCTAAGTATCAGAACTAAATTTCTTTAACACTTTGAGGAGCTAGAAGTACATTTGTTAATTGCTCATGATGAGGCTGGTTTATATATAAACATCTGTGTTGAAGAAAATTTTAGTTGTTTACCAAGAAAGAACAGAGTCAAATGTAGGGTTCAAGGAATGAACATCTATTGAAAACTGGTTGGACATCATTATTCTAGTCTCAACCTCATAGAAGATAGAAAAGAAAGAGAAAATGTGGTTTCTGTAGTCTGAAAGATAGACTACATATGAAAAGGACACTGAATTTCCACAGCAGAAAGATATGTGAAAACAAATGAAGGTTGGAATTTATATGAGTCTTCATAAGCTGGTAAGCAGGTGAAACTGGATAGGACAGCCAACGACTTCTCTATGTCTTGAAGAAACTATTGGTAGGAGGATATATGCTGAATAAGACAGACATAAACAATCCTTAGATCATATAATTTTCATTTTCACTCATTCATTATTTGTTAATCACCTACTATGGGATACATTCTAAGCTGAGGGTAGAATCACAAGGAAATGAGAAAGTATCCTTATTCTCGAGGAGTTCAAAATGTAGACACTTAAACAGGTAAAATAAACTCCTGCAGGTGCTCTGATACCAGACTGATCAGAATACCATGGAAGGTAGTATAAATTCCACCTGTGGAGGAAGTGGGTTTGGAAAAATTTCATATTAGAAGGTGACTCTTAAGCTGAGTCTTCTAGACCCATATAAATAGATTAATAAGTACATGTTTACTTATAAAAAAAAAAGTAGGATAGAAGACTCAGTCAAAAAGAGAGTGATTCGTAGGATTGTAAATTGATAAAGCCGTTATGGAAAACAGGATATTAGTTAGTTTCAACAAGTCAGTGCAAATTCAGCCCTTGATTCCCTTACCTCCTGCTTGTGAACTATAATTGTAATATGTTCTATCCTAAAAGAAAAGAGCTGATATGTTGGTGACTTTGGTTCTCTCAGTCCATGCCAAGAATCTCTGCATTTTGGTGCTGTGGGTAACTTATTGAGGGTACCTAGGGATCCGATTCTCTCCCTTGAGAGATGAGCAAACTGAAACTCAGCAGGCGCAAACGAATCATTACTGGAGTTTGGACTAGAACCCTATTGTGCATCTCATAGTCACATGTTCTTTCCAACCCATCAAATAATATTATATATCATCTTATAATTACAGTTATCTTAATCTTCATTGCCTTAATCTAATAATTAATTTGTATTATTATTAAAAATAATAACATTGTCAGCTTATGTCCTTTCATTTAAAGTAGTTTATAATTATATTTTGACAATGAAACTCATTATATGGCATTTTGAAATGGAATTCTCTCCCTCATTCTCTGCATTTTACTATTTGGAGTAGTTTTGAAAACATAGATATAATTCACAGATCTTCACTTTTTAAATAGCTTTGTATGCATAGTTTGGTTTGTATGAGAAAGTGTTATAGATTAGGAAGTTGGGGAGGTATGTAAAAATAAAATCTTAAAGTACATGAAAATGCAGATAGATATTTATATACTCAAAGCATGGAAGAGATATTTCTAAACATGAATGCAAAAGTCAAAAAACATAAAAAATTGATACACCTCACATAAGCAAAATGTTGTATAAATCCAAAACAATATCAAAAACAAAATTGAAAACATTATGACAAACAAGAAAACATACTTGTAATAGTTTAACAGATAGTTACCATTCTTAAAATAAACTCATAAATCAAGTTTATAAAAGAATACATTCCATATCATACAATTTTGCTATAAACATGTACGGATATCTGATTATTAAGACTAAAAACATATTCACAGAAATACTGACATTGTTGGCACTAAATGATGGATGATTTTTATTTCTTTCTTTTTGTCTACTGTGAAAATTAATAAAGAAGACCTCTACCGAGATTGGATTCAGAAGTGCCTGTAGGAGGAGCTCTCATGCTGTCCCACTCATTCTTGGTTGCCCCAAACAGGAAGTCATGCTTTGCCAACAGGAAGATGTTTTCTATTCTATAGTACCACCCCAGCAGGAGGAATGAAGATTTTCTCCTCCCCGGGGAATAGCCCAGCCATTGAGAAACTGTCACAACCCACCTAATGAAAAGCCACAATACTTCAAACTCCCAGTTTCCTCCAATGAATTCTTCGTTTATAATTCCTCCCAGTTTCCTGTTTCCACTATAAAAGAACGTTCTTCTTCTTTGTTCTCTGGACTTGCCTGTGGTTTTCGCCATAGCCTGTATCTCCCGAATTGCAATTCTCTGCTATTCCTGAATAAACTCATTTTTGCTGCTAAAATCACTAACTTTTATTTTTAAGGTCACCTATATATATATATTCTAAAATTTTCATAATAAACATCTAGTTTTAACAAGAAACAGTAAACTTCTGAAACAACAATAGAAAAGAAAAAAATGAATCCAAGTGTGTATGAGCATTTACCCTTATGTGTTATGTTGTAATATTGAATGGTATTACCCATATATTCACTGGCAGATAATAAAAGCCTTCTTGTGGAAATGCTTCTCACCAATTACTAAAAAGATAATTATCAAAAAATGTAACATAAAGAATTCTAGAATGATCACATTTGGCTCCACCTAAATCATGAGTAATGCAACACAAACTTTTAATGTCTTTAAAAATAGTGATGAAAACATGCCATCATGGTCAGACAGGTATTTGTCTGGCTATTTGAGGACAATTTACTCACAGGCTGAAAGCAAACATAGTGAGGGATAAAATAACACTACAGATAATGAATGTTTTAAATTATAATTTTTGCCATTAAAGACTGAGGTACGAATGGAAATTTCCATGTTTTAAAAGAATATCACAAGATATTCTTGCTATCAGTCCTCTTGAGCTCATCCTAGAGGGCAGGTAATATAAGCTAACAAGCAAAAAGTCCACTCATTCCTCCACCAAGAGTGGTTTACATACATTTAATCATTGCGTACCTGCAATGGATACCTAAACAAATCCCTTTCCTATCTCTTGATAGTGGAGCTGGGGACACTTGTCTTTTGAGTCTCTGAAGACAGTTGTTGCCAGGCCAATATTCCAAACATTTGGGATGATTAATTGTACCACCTGTTCCTGGATCTCAGGGAGGAGGGCTGTTCACTTTTATCCTAGGTGATTATTCTGTACGTAATGAGCCATAAACTGTTCATTACTCACAGGAATGTAGTCACCCATCTCTTAAAACAAAACATATGCAGTTACTTGGAGTTTTTAAAAAGCTTTCAACCAAAACAATCTAACTTACCAAGGATGACTTATTTGGAAAAAGTTTTAAGAGACATTTGTCCAACTATTTTCCATAATTTTGAAAAATTTTCTTCCGTTTGCTGTTTTATATTCATTTCTTGGAGGAGAAAAATAAAAAAGTTCTTTCCTATTGTACCTGTGTTTCTTGACTGAGCTAATGCTTAGAGAGTTTCTTTTGAAATGCATAAGAAACAGAGGAATTTGTCAGAATACATAAAACAATAACAAATGTATACACTATCAACATTTATTCCTTCAATGAATTCTCCATTTGTTCATGATACTCTGCTCTGGTCAAGACTCACTGACAGAAACCCAAATAATGCTAAATGTAGAGGTCTGTGCCCTGGGATTACTCTATGGGGAAGATCCTTTAGAACAAAGACTTTTGATACTTCGGTACATGAATTTCTGGCATGCAGTCTAAGAAACGTACGTGGAAATAATAGCATTGTGATGTCCTAATGTCTAGAGGAACAGAATAAAGCAAAATTTAAAAACCCTTAGGATCAAACTCTATGATTCAACCAAACCTTTACAAGTATATTTCATTATATGCTCATCATCAAAACAGCTCTTTTTCAAGTAATATGAGAAAGGCTTTGCCTGGAGACCAGCTTTTATTGGCAATGTTTAATATAAGGATATCAGGAGTTCAAGAATCAATAATTAACACAAAT